ATTTACATCAAGGAGTCTGCTACTTAGATATTAAACATAAAAAAAACTGTTTCATGTGAATGAATCAAAGAATAACGTCTTGAAAAAAGACACTCGTGATTGGAAGGGTTAGAAACTTAAGAAGTATTTTGATAAAACTTTTAATATTGTGATGTTCTATTGAGTTTTTAATCAGGTGTAAAACTTGGTTCTCAAAAATATTTTTGTTTTATGAGAAAAATCAAGTTTTATACATTTCGTACACAAAGTGTTCTCCAGATATATTCAGATACCTTATGAGTGTTTATTTTTAGGGGAAAAATAGATAAATAGTATCGCACACATTTGTGAATACCATGCTATGTTTAGCATGTGACTGCTCCATTTCTACCAAATGCCATGTAAAAATATAACTGTAGCAATATAAATACTTTATGTTGATGTGAAATACCCCAGAATGAGCGGATCGGAACTTTCATGGGTTACTTTGGGAGGGAAAAAAAACAGTTTATTGTATTTATGTTTTTGTAAAGATAAAATATTAATAACTTGAACCAATGAAAAAAGAGAATAAAATCCACAAAACCTAAAATAAGAAAGTAAAGTACAAAAACTCTGAACTGGGCTTCAATGTGTTTTGTAACTTGACCTTTTCCTTTGTTTTATCATCATGTCTTAAACTGAAATATAATAAAATAAATGGAAAAGGTAAGAGCCATATCCTGATTTAGGTTGATAGAGAGTCACATTAATGTGCACGTGGCTGCAGTAATGTGAGTTGATTTGTGTCAGGTGGAGAGAGACCAACAGGACAGATCTGGGACGCTCGGCCAACCATGGTAACGCTGCAGAGAACTAAAACCAGAGCAGCTTCTGATCCACGAAAACATTTCTGCATGCAACAGGTTGTTTGCCTTTAACTGAGCTCTCAGATCTTCTTCATATTTTATTATAATCATTCATATTCATTCGCATTGTAGTTTTGGTTGTGGACACTGTCGTCCTATTTGGGGCCACATTTCAAGGATCAAAGCTGCTCAGTAACCAGAGTCAATTGTGGGTTAGTTCTTGTACCATTATGGGCAGAAGATGGGAAGAAGGATGAACCAGGAAGTTAAAATCATATCTTTAATGAAAGTGACTGGATTACATCTAAACGTCCCCATTTTCTAAAGTTGTCATATAAAAAAATTTAAGCAATATCACGTCTAAATTGTTCACAATACTTATTGTTTTCTGTGTTGCTGTTTTGAATGAAACAAGTCTCCCTACAATTAGATAGCAGTTTGATACCACAGTTGTATGTGTTGAAACGACCAGGAGTGCAGCCATCAACACACAAAATGGCCCAAACCAAAAGCAACTCACATGCTGCACAGTTATTATTCCTTTCCAGCTGTGAAATCCATAACCACCAAAATATCATGAGCAAACCCATATATTTATTATAATGTCGAGTCTGTGCTTTAAAAAAAGTCACAAAAAAATAAAGCAATGTATCAAAGGATTCAACTATTTCTGTAAGAAACTACAAGCACTGCCAGCTAAAAGGCGCTGACATAAAGACTGCTGGTAAATTATACTGCACGCATCAGTGCAAATAAATTGCAGGTTTGTGTTTGAAACCTTCTTAAAGACAAACTACTCATTCCTACAAAATCAACAACCATTTTAGTTATGTTGTAACATTTTCAGCTACAAAACAGCAGCAGATAGAGTTTTTTGGTTTAGTTGTCAGACAACCAGAAATGTCTTAATAAGGTGCTGTTTCTAATATTAAAAAAACACATGTTGTGTGGTATTATTGTTAAATGTTGCAACAACAACATATAAACCAGGCGAGGGGTTCATCAAAATAATATTTGCACGATGAACATAAATGCATACTTGAAATGTAATGATCTCTGATGTATGGCCGTTCAAGCAGCCCTTTTCAAAGCTGATGTGCAAACTGGTGTTGCAATGGCAATACATTTTTGATATATTGTGAATCTAGATGGTAAATGACAAATGGACTGTACATATATAGCACCTTTCTATCTTATCAAGATGTTCAAAGCTCTTTACACTACGATATGTGTCCTCATTTACCCATTTATACAACACTCTATTGTATCTGTACAAAGACTAATCAGAGCTTTATCACATTCATACACTGATGGGACACACATCTGAGGCAATGAGGGTTCAGTGGCTTGCCCAGGGACACTTGGACATGTGGCTGCTGGTGGAATCGAATATGGAGGACGAAACGTGACAAAATGAAATAAATAAATACATAATACAAACATAACAATTTCATGTATCATTTAATTATTAAATGCATCATTAAATCATTAAATACACAATTAAATTATTAAGTACACCATTAAATAATTAAATGTATCTTTTAAATTATTTATTTCATGATTTATTGATTTATTTAATTTTGTCAATATCTACTCTCCAGTGGCATCATGAAATTGTGAAAACTGTCAGTCTCTCTCGTCAAACTCAGTGGGCGGGACTAGGGCGGGCCGTGCACAGATCCTGATGCCTGATTGGCTGCTCCTCACAGCAAGCGAAAACAAATCGACCACAGATAATGGATTGATTCACAGGCAAGAAAATATATTCCAAAACTTTAGGAAGCAGTAATTGTGTTCACGTGTGGATGAAACCTTTTTTCATACAATGAGTGTAATGAAGAAGACATGCTTTTACGACAAGCAGCAAATTTAAACGAAATTTAAATATAAAATGCTACCAATGTCCAGAAATAAAATCAATGAAAGACTGGTTCTTTAACCTCTGCAGGATCCTCCGTGGTGCCTTGCTCTCTGTATCTTGTCAAGAGTTACAATGGTGACCGATTCCTTTCAGTTCCGAGACGATGGGAGTTCAAACCATCTCTGAAAGAGTCCAGACTTTGCTGGATTTGTGAACAGAAGCCGTGGTGAAGAGCATAAAGATGGACTTCATTATCTGGATCAAATCTTCTCTGATCTTCCAGTGAAGTTAAAACCTGATAGAACAGGTGTAAGGCATGCTCATAGACATCTCTCCACATCCTCTCTATTCTATGATAAAAATTAAGATGACTGTTGACTCATGTTATGTATATATCTTAAAGATGTGTGCGCTTGTCAAACAGGTGTTATACTTATTGCTGATTATGAACACTTCTGTGTCACTTCCTGTGATGTGAGAGTTCCTTTCAGTTCCTCTGTTCCTGATCATGAATTCTGCTGCCTTCTGCTATGGTTTCCCTTCCTTTGTTAATTTCATTTACCCTTCATTTATACAGGTAGACTCATTGAGTCACGAGAACTCATTTTCAAGAGAGAGCTGTTTATGGAGCAGATGGTGGGGGTTGAGGGCCTTGCTCAAGGGCCCAGAGTGGAGCAAATGAGGGTGTAGGCAGGTGTGGGTGTTTCACCTTTTCCACCCATATTTTGATGTTGACGGTACCGGGAGTTGAACCTGCAATTTCCAATCACAGACCCATCTTCTCTAGCTCCGTGCCACCACTCCCCCTTATCACACCGTACTGGTCAAAAGCTGACATAACTCTCCAGCCCTCATGGGCCCCAAACTCTGGAACAACCTGCCCACCAACACCAGGCAGGCCACTTCTCTTCCTGTGTTCAAATCTGCTAAAAACACATCTGTTTCCTCTGGCATTTCACACAGTGCGATTAGGATATTTTGTTCTGGGCTCCTATGTTTTTAATGCTTTTAATTAAATTTTAAGTATTATCATTAGTGTGGTATTTTTTCCATTAATTTACTCTCATTGATGTTATTGTTAATCACTTTGATAATAGTTTTAAATGTGCTCTATAATAAAGTGGACTTCACTATTGTTGCCAACAACAATCATACAGACAACAAGAGTAAACAGATATATACTATTAATCTGCTGTATCCATCCACCCCCGTTCCAATTTATTTACCACAAATTCTGGGGGAGCTTCTATATCCCAAGCTTGGCTAAAAATATCTAACCAGTTCACAAGAGAGCAAATAAAGGTCCGGCATGGAAGGAGCTGCCATGTATGAACTGACTTCAGACCGAAACAATGGAATTCACATGATCAGTGTTAGTCCCGCCCACTGAGTTTGACGAGTGCGACTGACAGTTTTCACAATTTCATGATGCCACTGGAGGGTAGAAGGCGACAAAATTAAATAAATAAATAAATAAATCATGAAACAAGTAATTTAATTGTGTATTTAATAATTGTATTGTGTATTTAATGATTGAATTATGTATTTAATAATGAAATGATACATTTCATTATTATGTATTTATTTATTTATTTTTGTCACATTCCGTCCTCCATAATCAAACCCCCGACTCTTGCATTGGAGGACAACTGCTCTAGTCATTCAGCCACAGCCGCCCCATGGTACAGACTTCCTTCCAAATGTTAAATATGATCATAAGATTTATATAATGAGGGATCAAAGATGTGCAACGACAACACCACATTAAGAGCACTTATTTTAAGCCTGTGGCTAAGATAACTGTGACCTTTAATTACAGCCACATGACACACACACTGAATATGATGAATATTAAAAGATGTAGCAAATTTCCTTCCATTTCACGTGGTTTAAATATAAATCAAAGGTGCAAAATCTAAATAACACTAGCTCATCTATGTCAATAAAAAGGAGTTGAGTTGTTTCTGTCGTTAGACTGTGATCAACTTTTTATCGCCTTCTAACATCATCCGATCACACTTGTGTGAAAATGCTTTCTGACACGTGAATAATAAATAAATCATGAAACACATTTGGCTCCAGTTTAGACATGTTGCAGGACACAAGCAGTATAAATCTGCTCATTTGTCTCTGATCTGATTTCACCTCAAGTGAACTCAGTTGCTACAATTATAGTTTTAAAGATTCTATGAATTGATTGATTGATGTATTTTATCAATCATCAAAAATTGAGGTAAGGGATGGAAACTTTAGGAAATCCTTTGTATTTTGTTACACATCATAAAAGATGCTAGCAGGATGAATGAACTCACCCTCCTTTGATGTAATCGAGGAACGTGTGCTCAGACTCTACGTTGAATGACAATAAGGACACCTGGATGGGAAATAAAGCAGTCCAAACAAATTATCTCATGCTTGATGATTAAATAGAATAAAATGTATTAATCTAGACATTAACACTGACCTCTAAGCTCACCATCCACAAAATTACCTGCCTACATAGAGCGTTCATGCTGCATATTAGTATTACAATCACCCAACATCGGCTCGACAGATGATCAACGTGATGGATAACTAATAACACATTTTAATTACAGAGCCATGGCATTAAGCAAGAGCGGTAAAAGAAAAAAGAACTGTGGCTCATCTCTAAACATTCAATCACTACTTCATTAAAAGGACAAAGACAAAAGTAAGTTAATGCATTTTTGGAGACTTTTACTAATTTAGATTCACCATCTGGATCGCCTAAGACTGAGACGGGAACAAAAGCAGTTGAATCACATTGTGAAAGCTCCTGGTGGGGACACTTCCTGATAAATACAAAAGTAAAAGGTGGCAGGATGGTGAGCGACGCAAGAGATTTGCTTTCATCTTAGATCTCAGACTCACCGTGCCAGAGTTAATGTATCTCTTTTTCTTTAGCTTCTTCTTGGGATTCACCACCTGGTTTGAAGGCAGAAAAGAAACAAAGGATAATGACAATGTACGCCTCCGCCACAAATCTATCTGTTCACCTTTGGGTGAGTAATATAAACAGCTTTGTCCTTCTATTCCATGTTTGGAAGGGTAATGGAGCAAAGGGAATGAATCCCATAACTGCAGTAGGTGAGAATGAGATACCATTGATCATGCCTCGCAGCAAAATGCAGATTATTCAGGTTCGTTTTTTTACAACCACCTACTCTGTATCCTACAAGCACATTATTGTGGGGATGATAGAATACCGATCCAATATTTCACCCCCGTGATAATCATGAAGAATAAATTAAATTGTGTGCAAATCCAGAGGCGAACAGTAATGTGTGACGTGGGCAGATGCAAAACGCACATAAACAGGTTATCAGCACAGCGAGCTCAGCAATTACAGCATATTCTGCTGTAGATGCAACGTACAGTCAAAGCTTGAAGCCAAAACTATGTAAGCGAGGTCAAACTTCTGTTGCTCACTCTACACGTCACAAACACAAAGCATCGGCCTGGAGGAAACTGTGCAACGTAACCAAGTATGAAAACCCACTCTCGTCCTTTCTCCTGCACTCATCCTCCTGTGCAGTTTCTAAAGTTACTCGTCTATTATTTCCAACAAAAATGATACCTTAGAGCACTGCGGCTGTCATTCAGTCACCGTCTGAGTTCATGCTAAGGCACAAAAACATCACATGCAATTACAGCAGCCTCTATTAATGCAGCCCTGTTGTCATCTTCACCCCTAGAGCTAATGTTTATGAGCTGTGTGCAGGTCAGGATGAGTATGAGGAAAGCTGAACACTGCATCGTTATTATAATGCATATTATTAAAGCTTTATGTGGTTTTTGTCCACATCTAAAAAGTGATTCGAGCACTGACCTGTTGAAGAGTTTATGTTCCCTTCACTAATTAAGCTGCAGATGATTTTGATTAAATGTAATAGACGTGTTTCCCTCTGTCAGCAGCGTAACTTAAGAGTTGCGCTTTATCGTGAGATCACTGATATGACAGCGAAATGCTTCTATATGCCCAGTTCAGAAACAGCACACAGAAACTGGGTCCACATCGTTTATTTGCACGTGACACACGACGGCAGCGAGCTGGGTAAAAATCAATTTGCACACCATTTCAAGCTGTGCATCAACCAGTGCATAGTCTGGATGTCCCACTCCAGTCCAGAGGCAGCTTCAGTATGGCCGTTACGAACTCAACCCAGTTGTTTCAGATGTTGTCTGGGTCAAACTGCTCAGGAGTGGACCCAGTGATGATCAGAGCAGCGTGTCAGCCTCCACAAGCTGCTGCGCTAATTAAAAGTGTCTTAAGAGACAAGCAGCTGCACACATGTGGCCTAAAGATAAACAAACGGCTTCAAGTGCTGAAGGATTATTATGGGCTTTGAATGATAAAACATCAAGCGGCTAAATAAATTTACTGATACTAGTACATGTTGTTGAACAGAAGTTTTACAGCCTAAACACGCAGTGGTTTTATTTTAGAAGATTTGATTTCTGTTGTTGCACTTTATTCAAATTTGAAGTCAAACACGGAAAATGTGCAAGTTTAAACTGCCTTAGTAAAAAAATTTTTTAAAAAAATCATATGTGTTTGGCAGTTATCATCTGCTGACAATTTCTGAAAACACAGCACAAGTTGAGACACTTCAATGCCTTCAACTTAGAGATAAAGCTGCTGTCGAAGAGCTCGTGTAGCAGGAGATTCAGTGTCACGGTGCACATGGAAAGGTCACGGAGAATCAAAAACAGAAATATCCCTCGTTTATTTGTGCTGATAAACGTTGCTACCTGCAAGCTGCAATCACAGATAAAATGTTTTTCTTCTTTTCCTTTTTGCTACATCGTCATAAATTTGGCAAACACATTTTTAAATTTAATGATATAATGTGATGCTGTATCAGTCACTCCTAATGTGAAAACGTATCTATGTATGCCTCACGCTCTGTTTACCTTCCCTTTATGTTACCTAACCCATCTTTTTTTTTTTTTCACCTATTCATATTGTTTTTTTAGGCTCTGGTCTTTAATGTGGACAGAACAGTAATATCAAAGATGGTTGAAGTCTTTAAAAAAAAAACATGTATCTGTTGCTTTTTCATTTGTATTCTCTCCGCAGACACAATTCCTCCACTGGTCGGCTGCAACACTTAACCTCTCAGACTCTTAATGACAGCTGAGGTGAGGACAGAAAGAGGATGCTTGCAGTTAATCTCACACTCTCACAATTTGGCTCCCAAAGAGCAGAACCTGACGACTTTACTGTCATTAAACAAGACCTCGCTGAGCCAAGGGGCGCACCGATTTGTTCCTAAATTGAAGTTGATTTCTCAAGCTGGCACCCTGAGATTGAGCTTGGGTTTGTTTTTGTGCTGAGCTGAATAATAAATGCACCCACTGTTCGGCTGGTGATAGTTAGCACACAGCCTTTTGCAGTCACGGTGCGCTTTATTTGCTGTGACAAAGAGAGTGAACGCACTAAAACTGTTCTTCTAAAAGCGCGAGTTCTTCAGAGATGGATATAAATAGGGCAGGTTTGCATTGTGACCTGAATTCTGCTTTTAAGTTGTTTGAAATGTGCAGCAGCATTCAGAGTTTAACATAAAGGCCTTCTGCGTTGGGACAAAACAGTGACAGGTTGGAGTCTTTTATGTGCACTCACCTCGTGCATGTTTAGCTGGCTCTGGCCCCTGCATAGCTCTTTGTAGCTCGTGGTGAATTCACCAATGAAGTCGTGGCTGTTAGAGGGAACAGAAAAGTGTGTCACATAGATTATTCAGATACAGTGAACCTACATTTAAACACAAAAAACTACAGCGCTGCATGGATCAACACAAAAGCACTTCAGTCACTCGTGACTTTGTGTTGGTAGAAAAGCCTAATAAGTAAAATTTGATTTGATAAATGCACAAGATATGACAAAGTCCTATAACTATTTGTTCAGTGCGTAACAGTGAGCATCAATACCTCCCATCTCTGTCCCAGTCATACACTTCTATCTTGATTGCCCTGTTGAAAGCATAAAAAATACCATGTACTACACAAGTTACACATAAGGACAAAGTGTTTTTTGTAAATAAAGAACACAAAATCAAGCTACAACAGCTCAGTTTATGTAAGAAAAACTGGTACCACTTTACAATAAGGCTCCCCTTTTAGATGTTAATAAACAGATTATAGATATGTTATTAATTCCTCTATAAACACTTTATAAATAATTAATAATTGTTTATTGTGCATTAATTAAGAGCAAGAAAGAGACAAAACTGACCAGTTTCTTGCCAAATATTGAGCCAAATCTGTTCACCTATATATTTCATATAGAGTTGTTATATTAAATATTTCAATCAATCAATCAATCAATTTTATTTATAAAGCACCCTTCATACTAAAAGCAGCTCAAAGTGCTGTACAGAATTATAAACAATAAACCCACAAAATAAATGCAAACAGCACACACAAAATAAAATTGTATGGAAAATGTATAGACTGAACAGAAATGAACCAGTTCAGGAAATACAGTTAAAAAGATGAGTCTTGAGCCTGCTCTTAAAAACAATAACATTTTCTGCGGCCCTCAGGTTCTCCGGCAGACTATTCCACAGACGGGGGCCATAGTGCTGGAAAGAAGCCTCACCGTAAGTGTGAGTTCTGACTATTGGAACTTTTAGTAGTCCAGTGCCAGAGGACCTTAGTGTCCGCGGGGGTTCATAGGGTAATAGCAGCTCTGCAAGATAAGATGGTGCGAGACCATTGAGACATTTAAAAACCATTAAAAGAATCTTAAAATCAACCCTGAGACGCACAGGGAGCCAATGCAATGATTTTAAAACAGGTGTAATATGAGCCTGCCTTCTGGTCTTGGTTAGCACACGAGCAGCAGAGTTTTGTAAAAGCTGAAGGCTGGATACATTTTTCTTAGGGAGACCAGAAAGCAGTGCATTACAGTAGTCTAAACGGCTAGATATAAAAGCGTGCATCAAAGTCTCAGTATTAGTAAAAGAGAGAAGAGGGCGGACTCTGGCTATATTTTTTAGATGGTAAAATTTCAGCCTAAGTTACTACCTTGTGAGCACAATACGAATTTGTAAACCTATTTCTTTAGTATATAATATTGTACTTTATCACTGCATTATAAGTATCTACAACTAATATTATATAATTAAAACATTAGGTTTACAAATGCTTATTGTGCTCACAAGGTAGTAACTTAGTCTGAAATGTTTAACTCTAGATTAAATATACAGGTGGTAGATTTGACTCATTATTTGAGAAGAAACTGGTCAGTTTTGTTTCTCTGTCACCCTTAATTACTGCATAATAAGCAGTAATTAATGTTTTATAAAGTGTTTATAGCGGAATTAATAATGTATCTATAAAGTATTTATTAGCCATCTATATGGAGAGCCTTATTGTGAAGTGGTACAGAAAAACCTACTGTAAATCAGACTATTTCTTGAATACTAGCAGTATTCACAATTTTCTGTAAATATATTAAGTGTAATAATTATCTACATCCAACCTTAATGAAAAAAAATTTCCAAATTTAAAGCATGTTATTAACAACTTCATGAGAGTATTAGTAAAAACAAGTTTAACACAAAATAAAATAAACATATTTGACATTTGTAATGTGTACGATTCATTGAAATTGTTGAGAGTTATGAGGAGTATGTTGATAAATTATAAAAGTTGTTAATTAGATGCACAAAAATTGACATACATACCAAACAAAAAAGAAACCTATTGGGAAAATGTATAATTTGAAAATTTGTTTAAAAAAGTGTTAGAATGTGAAAAAACAAACATGTAGGTTTGAAAGACATCACTAAGAAAGTGCTTCTTTTTCATCTCAACCAGACGATCCTCATCCTCACCGTCTCATCAGCTGCATCACGTCTGAACGGGTGGAGCAGGAGGCGGGAACGGAGGTCAGTCTTGTTAATTCTGACCTGAACTCATTCTGTCTGCACCGTTCACCAACCTTAACATGTCTACCAAGCAGTGACAAAAGATTTTTAGTGTACATTCATGGTCTAAAAATGGCCCGGTGGCTCAGTTCATAGAGCTGTAGCCTGTCAGCAAGAAGGTTGACGGATCAAATCCAGGTCCGGGAAAAACAATAGTGTGATGGATTCTTGTGAATTACAACAGAACCTACTGAGTTGCTTGATTTTAGCCTCTTTTTGTAAATTACTAACAATGACAGAAATGAATTACCTTTTTAAAATAAGGTCGTAGCATCCTTCCAAGCTAATCAACTGCTACTGTGACATTATTTACTATCTTAAGTGGTGATGTTGCATCGTGTGTCATCAACACAAAGCCTATAAAGTTTGATGTTTTTATGTCATGGTAAGTTAAATTACATAATGTGTAATGTTTTCATTTGCCAATGAAATATTAATGCAGGGGTCTGCAATCTTTACGATCAAAAGAGCCATTTCTGCCCCTTTGTTCACTAAATTAAACATGTCCGGAGCCACAATACCTGCTACAACTGGGATTCTCAACTGGTGGATCACATACCACTTTAAGTTTGTTGGAGGGCACTTTTCTGGACAGTAGGGGTGATTTTATCAAACTAAAAATATCTAATGATTTTTAACATCTATTGATATTTTTACACTCTAAGACGAAATAAAAGACGAAATTCTTGTAAAGAAGGAAAAAAATAATATAGTTTTTGCCCAGTTTCTAAAACTAAAACAATAAACTATGCATTCTTATGTGATTTTTTTTTTTTAATTGTAGAAAAATTATGTATCCTACTTTGAAGAAATAAAGCATAAAGTGAAAGTGAGTACTCCTTGTAATGTTTCTAGTATTCATATATTTGCAAAATAAATTACAGGAAAACCGCTAAAACTAGCCCTTTTAGTTGTTATAACAACCAATAAAATTCAGTTTTATGTCAGTTTTGGTCAAATCTTGAAAAAGACGCTGCAGAGGGACAAAAGAGCCGTATGTGGCTCCAGAGCCGCAGGTTGCAGACCCCTGTATTAATGTATAATGTAATATGTCATCATATTAATGATGAAGCTGCTGTCTCTTCGCTGTCTCGTACAGCAACAAACATTTAGATTTAGTCTCAATCCTCAGATTTCCTCTATTTTGTTTTTACATTGCTCACTGTGTTAAAAATGTGAGACATTTACTTTTATGATCACTAATGAGGCCTGATGATTACAGGAGTTGATCATATTCACACAAAAAAGATGTGATTGCAGAGAGACAATGGGCTGGGTGTCCTTCTCCTCCTCAACCTTTAAATCTTTATCATCATCATCATCCATGTCACTGCCATCATGATCATTTTTTCTACAGATTTTATAAAAAATGTGCACAAAAATTAATTATGAAATGATGAATATGACCCCTTTTAGTTCTGCAGCCTCAACCATTTTGTCAGTGTATGCAAAGTAAAATAATAATAATCACCATGTAAACTGGGTGGATTAAAACCATCAATCTAGGAGCAATAACATTTTAAACAGAATTCAAATCTGCCATCACTCTTATCAAAAAAAAAAAAAAAACATAAATAAGCGCAGCAGAGCAAACTATCAATATTTCAAGGAAAGTGGAGAGGCCATAAATTGCTGTGAATTTCTTTCCTGCTATAAATCCTCAAAGGGAATCAGGCGCCTTTCATGCTTCTGCTCCATCTGTCTGACCCAATTAACTTCTCCGGGCAGGTGATCGAAGGAAGGAACCTTCGCTGACACCTGCTGTGGGGGAGAGGCCAAGAGTTTTCCATGTTCCCCTTCACTCTTATGAATACCTGCATCCACACGCCTCCACGCTCAGCCACGTGTGCACACACGCAAACACAGCCAGGCTCATCTGTTTATTCCAGCCAACTGTCAACATCTATCGAACGACGAGTACAGCCAGTCCCCCACCCCCCTCGCAATCTATGTTTATCTTCTTATTTCCTATTTTCCTGCCAAAACTCTTTCAGCTCCACGGATGTCTTCCGAGGCTCTTTGTTCTAAGAAGAAGCAGATAAGATAGGGGGATGCCACTGCCAATCAGAAGCATGAAATGCTCTGAAAGGTTCTCGCTGTTTGTAGACAATTCAATAAGCAGCTGGGGAAGACAGCATGTGGTCAGAGATGGACTGGTGATAATTAACAGGTTTTATGAGGACAGCAGATGAATCGTTAATGAAGAACAAATAAAAATGCATTTATTGCACACAAGTCAATTTGGTACTATGAATATTAAAGCTTGTGTGATTGAATTTTACATTCCTTCCTTCTAAGGTTTTACTTTGTACCTACATGTTGCAAATTTACACTGACAGGTTGTCTTCTGGCTGTCTAGTCCTACAAAAAGAGGCTCATTCACATTTTTAACATGCTACAGCTACTGCTACTTCTAGATTTCAAATGTCCCCTTAACACTTGATTTAAAGCCCAAAAAGTGGTGGCTAACTTTTTCCACTATAAAAATGGAGCTTTTCAAAATGCTGTTATTCCATCAGTTCTTGTTAATTCCTTTATATATATATACAATATTGATATATATATAT